TTAATAAATGGGTGAAAATGGCTTGTTCCCATAATGGGCAGCATTAATATATATACACACATGCCAGCTAAGCTCAGAAGAGCTTTATTTAACAGCTGGTCTTATGTTTGTGACCCCTGTTGTTCATTGATAACATTACATTACATTAATTGATAAGCCTGAAACATGCACTTGTCAAGGTTCAGAGGCACATTTTGCAAATATGGCAGTAGCCATCGATCAGCTTAAGATAAGATATACTTTATTGATCCCAAGTTGGAACATTTGCGTTACATCAGCATGTGTAACAGTTAAATATGCAGTGGTGTTTATTTGTAAATCATTTAGTATAATCACACAAATTCTGTGTTTTATATTCAGCAATTCTGTGTTCTTTATTTATTGATTGTTCAATACCTGACAAGGCCGGAGATGAAATATCTACATACATCTTATAAGAGTATAATACATATGTATAATATCAGTTAAAATAAGTGCTTCAACATAGTTAACATTGCTGGAGGTATGCACAAATATTGATAGATGTCTTGTAATGCACTATTGAGGAACCTGCGACCCAAGTTTTTCATTCAATGCAGAACTACACCATAGTTGTGTAGGCCTATATGATATGTCAATAAACCTTAGAAAATCTTGAAATCTTGAAAGGGATGTGCAAAATAGTCATTATATAGCCTACAGTCTTTAGTGAACTATTAGTAGAGAATAACGAGTAATGAATATACTTTATAGGGATCCTATTAATATCTAATAATAAAAATAATGAAATTCAATAACATGCTTTAACCACTTGGTGTCCCTTTATATCAGGTGTGCACCTTTATGGTGTAAATACAGCCTATCTACCAATTGGATCAAATATAAAAGTCAGCCGAATTAGTGTTGATAATGCAAGGAGACGTATTGTGTGAAAAGAAATGTAAGATGTTGTTTAATGGCTGATATATTTATGATCCACGTCACGTTTTCAGTTCCTCATGTTTGTCTAGAAGTCTTCTCATCAGGGCTCTATAAATACAGAACTACGGCAGATATGTAATATGTAATGCAGCCGAACCGTGTATTACAATGCCGTTATGTGATGACTTTCAAGGAAAAAAGCAAGCACACTCGGAATAAAGTATTTTATTTTTTAAAAATGTTTTCGGTCTGTTTCCGGTATTTGTTAATGACGATGTGCTGTGAGATGTGAGACTGGAATTGCACAGGGGAAAATAACGTAGGCTATCTTTAGATGCGGATTTTGTTAAACTAATATGTTTGCGCTGTGGACCAACACTATACATTGACGGGGAAGGGGGTAGCAATAAAGATAACACCATTAAACAGTTACACAACATAACAGAAATAATATCGATAGCAGCGTCCCTAGCAACCACCTTGGTAACAATGAAAACGTTATGGACGCAATTTCCTGAAGTAATCTTCGTAATAACTAGCAAACTAAAGATCATGTACATCCACTGCACACATAATCTGAAATAACAACTCATATTTCTCGCAAAATGGTTAAAGCAACCATCACTAAACGCCAGCATCACTGCCTCTACTGCTGACCGTAGCAACAGGCCAGATGGGGACATCACGTTACCCTCCGTTGTGGACACTAGCTTACTAGCTTAGCCTGACTCGCCGCCCTCAACCCCGGAGCAGCACTCTTCGTTACCCGAAACTACGCAGCCCCTCTGCGGCCCGCAGGTGCCAGGATACCACGGCAAAACAGAGCCTGCCCAGGTATATCTAAACAAGTACCCGCCTGTACAGTGGGGTTAGGTGGTCATTTTGCAGCTCGTGGTATACAAATAGACAAGGGCTAGAATATTCATGTGAAAATAGTGCCATATTCTGCCATGCCTGTAGAAATGTTGGGTCAAAAATAATGCATACAATAGCACAGATGCCTTCACCACGAATGGCTACAAAACTATCTCATATCCCAAGCTTATCAACGAGCTAATGTTGCAGCTGAAATGTTCTCCAGGTCACAAAGTCAACCTCACATGATGATGTGATACCAGTTTTCAAGCACAGTAAATATTCTCTTCCCAGAGTATATGATGGGACCAAAGTGATGATTTAGTACATGGTTTTAATAATACTTTTGCTTTTCAATGTTTGCCATTTCAAACCATGAGCTGGTTCAAATCATATTTGCCTTGATTTACAATATGTTCTCATTTGTTTTATCAGTACAGTTTTGAAGCTTTTGTGCTTTTCCTTGCCATAGTCCACTTTGGACTATATGAAATATTTCAGGATTGCACTTTTAACTCACTTGAAATGTTCTCACTTGCTTGGTTTCAAAACATAACAAATGCCATAATCTGTTCATTGGGGACCATCAAAGCTATTTTTCATTGCTGTTGTCGGCCACTATTGCTCATGTAAACCTACTACTGCTGCGCCCCCTGTAATCTCAGAGGCACCCTGAGTCATTTTGTTCTGGAACCAGGCCTGTACACGGCCATATACTAAACAAACTACAGAGACCATTCCGTGTCCTGTTATTATTCACTTCCTCTCTGCCTTCTTCTGGTGATTTATCTGACGTCCAGCGCTCCGTCTTTTAACCTCTTTTCCTTTCTCTTTCTTTCCTTAGCAGCCTTCATTATAGTCCTTGACAGTGGTCTGTATTGTATTAACAACGTGTCACATGTTAAGAATTTACAATCAGAATTGAGTATTCAACTAAGCCGTGAAATACAAGTTGTTAGTAGCCTTAAGGGCCTACACAGTTGTTATGCTATACCACATTGCCCTTCATTGGATATATAATGAGCTGCACTAAACTACATTTCAGCATTTAAAATACCTAGCCATTCTTTTGCGGTTATTTTGGTGAAAGTAACTAAAAAAGTAACTGAGTAAGTAGTGTAACTCATTACATTTCAGAGACAGTAATTTTGTAATGTAACTTATTACTTTCAAAAGAGAGTAATAAGTAATATGTAATATATTACATTTTGGAAGTAACTTGCCCAACACTGGTGGTAAACTATCGTCCAGGCCTACTAGTGGTTTTTCCTAGTGACTTTTTGATGCTCCTTGTGAAAGGAAATTATTTCCTAATCCTGCTTGTTTTCCCTGTTCCAGATCTACATACTCCAGCCGCTCTGCCTGCCACGTCCAGCCTCCCCTCCTGGTCAGCCCAGCTCCACGTCTTCCCTCTTCGTGTCCTTCGTCAACTCCTTGTCAGTGTTGTGGACAAAATAAAGCCTTTTTTTGACACTTCACCACTGTCTCTGTGTTAGTGCTTGCATAGCGGGTTCTCATCTCCAGTCACTTCTCGGGAAACCTAACAATAACATTTGTAAACCTCAAGAGTCAGTGCCAGTGCCAGCCATGAACCTCACTGCACGTCACTGCAGAAGCTTATATATAGACATCTACGTTTTTTGTGCCCCACCACTTTTGTACATATAAAAACGCCACTGTCAACTTCAGGTCAGCGTAACCTCAATATGAACACAACAATAACACATTTCACAGTTACTTGATATTTCTAGCTTGCTTGGAACTTGATTTTGTACAAAACAACCTCTGAAAGCCCATCTTTCCAGTCAAACCTGGGAGGCCGCTCATCAAAAATACTTTGAGCACAGCTGAGGAGAACTGCAAATTCAGGTGATTCTCTGTGGGTTGGGGGCTCCATTCAGGAGCATTGGACTGAGAAACATGACAGAGGTGGGATTCAGGTCAGCAGAGAGAGTTTGTGGACACACACTGCTCTGAAAACACACAGTAATAGATAGACAGGAAGCTATAGGTTGGGAAACCACGCATGCCTTGATGCTTGTTAGTGCATGCATGTATGCTAATATTCAATTCAGATTCACTGCTTTTTTAAACATTCCCTTATTGCTGCTATTGAGCACCTCCTACTGTCTGCATATCATATCAGTTCCCACCATATGTTGAAAACACAAAATTCTGCATTATTCACTCCAAAATTACAACTTCATGTAAGCATGTGAAGACAATCTTAGGCAGAGTGGTTATGAGCAATAACTTAATGACAAAAGGGATTTGCTCATTAATAGCAGTTTTATTGCTGTTGGATGTGGATGTATTTCCTACATTACAAGACAATGATTTCATAATCACTAGAAAAAGAAAAGAAAATTGATAAAGCACATGACATGAGGCATTTGAACACAGAAGACATGTTGGTAAACGTACAGGCGTATACACATACTCCGATATAAAGCTCAGTTTTAATCAGCTGATAAGGCTTCATGGTCCTGTTCCTGCTACAAGTCAACATGTCTATTAAGATATAAAATAGAAAGGTAAAGAGAAAAGGACAACATTTAAAGCAATCAAAGCTTCATATTCTTATTGGATGTTTGCTGTGGAGTCGCAGCTTAATTACATTACATTACATGTTACTTGTTAGACTCTTTTATCCAAAGCGACTTACATACTCAATACTGTGGACAATCCCCACAGAAGAAATTTGGGGTGAAGTGTCTTGCCCAGGGACACAACAACATGCTGACTGCAGTGGGGTTTGAACCTGTGACCATCTGATCCGAAAACCAACACACAACCCACTGCACCACACACCTCCCCCAATTTAATTACATTATCAAACAAAAAGCGAATTAGCAAGCAGAAATCAAATCAAGTTTTATTTATATAGCACATTTATAAACGATTTTTGGTCGAGCCAAAGTGCTGTACATATAATAAAAATAGCCTACAGTAGAGACACTTTACAGCAAATACAACAGCACAGATTGTTCAGAATATCAGTATGAGAAAAACGACACCCTCTATCCTTAGACCCTCACATCGTACAAGGAAAAACTTCCAGAGAAAACCCACAGTTTAAAGGGAAAAAATGGGAGAAACCTCAGGGAGAGCAACAGAGGAGGGATCCCTCTCCCAGGACGGACAGACGTGCAATAGATGCCGTGTGTAAATCGAAGAGATAATACATTTTACAGCATATAGACCGAATGTTAGGAAATGCATGTGTCTGTAATAAGAAGATGAATCTGGGGTTACGTACTGTAATCCAGCTTCTATGAGTATAGGCGCAGCCCTCTAAGGCTATCGCTATTGGGTCCTAAAAACAAGGGCCCACTATGCCACACGGTTCCACGGGCTTCTTGCACGGGCACCCAAAGCGAACTTTGTAGTCACGGCACATGCGCTTTCTCTGGTCCTTGTTGCGGCAAACAAATCCCTGAGTCGGATTGAAGCTGAAAAACAATAACAATTATTAAATGAATCATATCGATAGTTATATGAAGAAGACCAATTTTAAAAGCAAACAAAAACGTAATTTGAATTGGATATGTTGCTTAAACCATAATTCATGTTTAGCTCTGATATAAACCCAATGTAGTTTATTAAAGTACATTGATGCTAGTTCAAATACACCTCTACAACCCTTTCAATTATCATACTTGTTCTTGTTGTCAGGTGGAACTTTGTTTCTAATAAATATCTCAGATATCCACAATGATCATTTGAAATCATTAAAATGTCTTCTAATGTAAATTAAATGTCCATGTACAGAGTTTCTATTCACTGTTATAGGTGTAGCTCCAGGCAGCACATGTGGGTGACTTGTAAGGAGTTTTTAATGTTCAGAGGTACCGGTTCAGTGAGGAAACTTACATATAGAAGTTCTCCCCTGTGGAGATGGCTGGGGTCATCGTGTCAGTGGTAACGACCTCAATGTACAGAGGGTATGCACAGATCTTTCCTGGGTTTTCTTTCATCAGGTCCTTCAAAAGCTCCCAGTCCTCTGAGCCACTGGGATTGTCACGGTCAAACCAGTCGGTCCAGCACACTGCAAGGAGCAATAAAAGAGTGAGAGGACGACTGGGAAGGAAGCTTTTCTCATACTGATATTCTGCACAAACTGTGCTGTTGTATTTGCTGTAAAGTGTCTTTACTGTAGGTTATGTTTTCATTATATGTACAGCACTTTGGCTCGACCAAAAATCGTTTAAAAATGTGCTATATAAATAAAACGATAGTTACGTATGTAACTACGGTTCTATGAATACTGGATGACCGCCAGAGGCGGTGCTTTAGCACTGGATATCTTCCGTCTCGCACCTGCGTAGGTCGAATATTTATATCAACAAAGTCACGTGTGACCTCGTATGAACCCGGAAGGCATAAGTTCCGGTGTTGTCAACGAGTTCAGTCCTATGGAATCTTCTCGCGGAAACACGAGATTCCGAGTGACCAAGAAACTCTGGCGGTCATCCAGTATTCATAGAACCGTAGTTACATACGTAACTATCGTTCTATTTCATCCTTACTGACCGCCAGAGGCGGTGCTTTAGCACTGGATGACCTATACCAACAGAGTCACGAGGAAGTCTGAATACTCCCCCTGCTATAAGGATGGCCTAGGCTGACTCTGCAGGAGGACCACACCCAGCGGGTGAGGGGCGGCAACATTCACCCTGTAGTATCTGGCGAATGTGCTCTGGGATGCCCATGTGGCCCCAGCACATATGTCCTTGCACCTTAGGGAGGAAAGCTGTGTTCGGCCATAAGGTGACACCTGAGCCATCTGAGTTCCACCTCAGACACGAGCTGTTCACGGACAAGGCCTGAAGCTCGCTTACACGCTTTGCTGAGGTGATGGCAAGAAGGAAAGCAGTCTTAGCTGAGAGCCACTCCAGTTCTGCCTGTAACAAAGGTTCAACAGGAGGCGAGCATAGGGCATCCAGCACCAAGGGCAGGTCCCATGTAGGGGCCCTTGGGATATTCGGGGGGGCGAAGCCTCAGAGCTCCCCCTTAAAAAGAGGGATACCAACCTATGGCTCCCACTGTGCTGTTGTCAGCCCTTGTGTGTTGAGCTGATATAGCAGCCACATACACCCTGACGGTAGCGGGACACCGGCCGTCGTCCAGGAGGGACTGCAGGAACTCAAGGGTCGTAGGCACCGTGACCGAGCAATATACTGGGTCCTCATTTCGCCCTTGGCACCAGTCAAAAAAACAAAAGTTTCCACCTGTTTTCGTACTGCCTACGGGTAGATGGTGCCCTGGCATTTGAGAATAGTCTTCCTGACAGACACTATGCAGTCGCTTAGCAGTGGTTCGGGCCCTCCAGTGGCCAGACCCACAGCTGGAGGCGGCAGGGGTCGGGGTGTCACATCCGACCCTCCAACTGAGACAAGAGGTCCTTCTTGTTGGGGAGACGCCAAGGCGTCCCACAGCAGAGTCTGTGCAGCAGATGGAGAGGCCCGCACCTAGCTGGGCTAAACAAGGAAGTTTAACAGGACAGCCTAGCCAGGCGGCTCCTGCTAGAATCAAGCAACACGCCTACCAGGAGCGGGGGCGAGAACACTGCCTTCACTGGTTGAGTTGATAACGAATTCCAGATGCAGCGTAACCGGGAGCGGGTGCAAGAACACAGCCTCCACTAGCTACCTGCTGAACGTAAAGAGTAGAGCAATGCTCCTACACGCCGAACACAGAGAGGGATGTAAATGTCCTACACCACGTTACCAGCAGAGAGAGCGGGAGCGAGCACTGCATTCACCTAGGTGGATTAGATAAGGAAATTTAACAGGGCAGTTTAGCCAGGCAGCTGCTGCTAGAATGAAGCAGCGCGTCTACCAGGAGCGGGGGCGAGAACACCGCGCTCACTGGTTGAGTTAATAACGAATGCCAGATGCAGCGTAGGCGGGAGCGGGGTGCGAGAACACAGCCTTCACCAGCTACCTGCTGAACGGAAAGAGTAGAGCAACGTTCCTACTCGCCGAACACAAAAGGGATCTAACTACACCCATGTTACCAGCAGAGGGAGCGGGAGCACTGCCTTCACCTAGCTGGAAAAAAAAAAAAAGTTTCAGCAGGACAGCCTATCCAGTCGGCTGCTGCTAGAATAAAGCATCACGTCTACCAGGAGTGGGGGCTAGAACACTGCTTTCGCTGGTTGAGTGACTATGTCCAGAGCCACCCCAATGAAGGTTAGGCTCTGAGAGGGGTTCAGACAACTCTTCTCCATGTTCACCATGAGGCCTAGCCGGGTGACATGAGAGAGAAGGAGAGCCGTGTCCTGGATCGTCTGTAACCGGGATGGTGCACAGATTAACCAGTCGTCTAAGGAGAGGGAGAGTCCGAATGGAACACCCTGAACTGGAAATGACGGCCTCTGAAGGCAAAGCGAAGAAACTGCCTGTGATGAGGCACATGAAAATAAGCGTCCTTCAAGTCGACGGACGTGAACCATTCCCCCCTGGCCACGGTACGAAGAACGTCCGCTGTGCTCAGCACATGGAAAGGTCAATTGTTGAGTCCCCTCAGATCGAGGATTGGGCGAAGTCCACCGCCTTTCTTCCTTCCCAGGAAGTAGGCTGTGAGATGGGGTCCACAGGCTCGATTGCACCCTTGGCAAGGAGGACTGACAGCTCCTGGTTTAGGGCAATTTATTTTGCCAGGTCGCTTATGGTGGTCATCTTGACCCGGCTGAAGACTGGGGGCCAGCGTCGGAACTGAAGCTTGTACTCTTGGGTTAGGTGGAAACCACCCAGGGGTCTGAAGCTTGAGCTACCCGGTAGTTGAGCTGCTGCTGGGAGAGATAACCAACAGCCGGCCCCAGACCCTCAGTACCTTGCCCCCCGGCCTCTGGCTCTGAGGGGGCGACGGTTAGGCACCGGATACCGAGGCTGCCTTGGGGGCGAGTTAACAGGACCGTAGCGGGCCAGCCCCCTCGTGGGGCGCTGAGGCCCATGGCGGGTACCGGGGTGAGCCGGTGGACGGAGAGTCCTACATGTCTCTGATAAGGGTGACTGTGTCAGCCAAACCTGGCGACGAGTCTGGACGAGAGTGGACATCAGGCGCCCAAGCTCTCTAGACATCAGAGCGAACGCCTGTAATGAGGTGTCACTGAGGCTGGTAGAGGAAGCGCTAAGAGCATCCTGCTGCGGGGAAGCTGAGAGGGCGAGCATGAGGTGAGAGAGGGAATTGCCTATACGGCCCATGCGCGCCGCTGCATCGTAAGCCTTAGTGAGCAGGTCATCAGTGACCCGACATTGGAGTTGAGGGCACCTGGCCTCCGACCTCAGAGCTTCGTCAGGGGAAACTATGAGGGAAGCAATGGTAGGCTCAACAGCCGGTGTGTGGTCAAGGCCAACTCTTGCCGCATCCTGCATGGCTGCCAGGGCTTGGCCATCGGACGTAAGACTGTAAAGAGCCTTAGTGTCCTCCAGCATGCATTTAACTCACTCAGATACTCACAAGAGGGAGGAACAGTAAAGGTTGCGAAGAGTGTGCCTAAAGAACACACTGGCAGGCGCTGTTTCGGGCTGTTGCGCATCCAGCTGCTGGTGAGCCAGTGCCATGCGAATGACGGTACCCATGGAGCCGTCATCTGCCTCCTCCGAGGGACCATGAGCTGAGGTACAGGAACCAGGCCCAGAAGCATGGGATGGGCTCTCCCCTGTCATACTCATCAAATTGAGTGGCTGAAGCTGCCATCGAGAACACATCGTCATCTAGAACCAGCTCAGCCACGGATGGGCAGCGGCGTGCTCTGCACGGGCACCAGAATGGAGAGCCAAGAGGGGTGACTTCATCTGGGCTAGCTCAGTAGTGAGTAGGTCCACCCTGGAGGACAGCCTATCAGGCTTAGTCCTCTTCTTGGGCGGTGCACCCGCAGCCTCTGCGGCCCAACGCCTAGGATGGGTAGGTTGGGCTGTGCAGAGTCGACTGTGCAGGGGGAAGGCCACCTTCAGTCAGTAGTTCAACCTCGGCTAGTCTAGCAGCTCCTACCGCACGAGGCATGATGGTGCAATTGATGCACGGGTCCTCCGAAAGGCCCTCCCTCAGATGCTCGAGGCCAAGACAAGAGGGGCAAAGGTCATGGCCATCCTCTGGTTAAAGAGGAGCCATACAGGTGTTAGAGCCGTTAGACCTAGCGATAGCTAGAGCACTCAGCTGACTGTAAATAACTGGGCCAGGAAACAAATATGCAGTGGAGGGGAGTGAGCACAATAGTAGTTAGCTTGAGCGTGAGCACTCTGCTAACTGAAGGATGGAACGGGCATTAAACCAACTGTGTGCAGTGAGAGGGGAGCGGAAACACTCTCTTCACTAGCGCTGTAGCAAGTTAACTTTGAGCGACAGCACTCAGTTAACTGGAGGATGGAACAGGAACGAACTGTGAGCAGGGAGAGGGGAGCGGAAACACTCTCTTCACTAGCGCTGTAGCAAGTTAACTTTGAGCGACAGCACTCAGTTAACTGGAGGATGGAACAGGAACCAACTGTGAGCAGGGAGAGGGGAGCGGAAACACTCTCTTCACTAGCGCTGTAGCAAGTTAAAGTGGACCTAACATGCTATATTTGAATAATATAGTGTAGGACCATACCTATATAAGGCATATTTATACTTTTTTTTTTCCTTCAAAATACCAAACAGATCATGCTGATGGACTGATTCTGTGAGAACAGCACCATCTACAGGCCTGGCATCTGTACTACAGCGTCTCCAGCGCTTTCGAACGGCAATGTCCATGGCTGTCTCCTCCTGATTGGTGGAGTTGGCCCAATAGCCGTCACGCCACTTCTGTGACGTCATAGAAGTGTTCAAATCTGGATCAGTCTGTATCAGATCCGTTGCAGCCCCTTTTTAAGGGATTTGGGTATAGAGGAAAATAGAGAGGGTTGTGTTTTCTGACACTTGGTGAGTTCCCTGGAACACCGGGGACACATATTCATGTATAAAGACGTACCAAAGTGCATTTTGCATGATAGGTCACCTTTAACTTTGAGCGAGAGCACTCAGTTAACTGGAGGATGGAACAGGAACCAACTGTGTGCAGGGAGAGGGGAGCGGAAACACTCTCTTCACTAGCGCTGTAGCAAGTTAACTTTGAGCGAGAGCACTCAGTTAACTGGAGGGTGGAACAGGTTGGTGCACAATAGAAATAAAATAATTGAGAGAAGAAAAAGAGATATATTATCTATCAAAACCCAGTTAGATTAACATTAATTGGATTGCACACTTTGTTTGTATGTGGATATGTAGCACATTAACATTTTAATAGCACTTAATGACTGAATGGAAATGACAATAAATGAAAATATAAAACGAAAAAAGCGATCATGAAAATGTTTCCAATAAATGAATAAAATGATTTTTGACCACTTTGTTGTTTAGATATATCACATATTTGTAATATAGTCTATATATATAGACTATTTTCATTTCCTCGCTCCTCGGTCCTCGGTCTCACCGGAAGTTGATTAGTCTGCGCCATCTTGAGTACCGTCCCATGGCTCTTATTTCTGCCGGAGGACCGAGGACCGAGGATCGAGGAGCGAGGAGCGATAATGGAGGAGCTATAATCGAGGAACCACCAGACCATCCTCCGATGAAATCCTCAGACACTCGCCCCGCCCCCTTACTTTGTATCGCTCACTGATTGGACGATGCAGTGCATGCACTGATCTGATGCTTCTTGACATGAGAGCAGTTTCCCAGCGGAGTGAAGAACATCCATGAAACTCACGAGAGTCACTCCTCAGTTTACACTGTGTTTTGTTTCAATTCATGTATCATTTAGTTACAAATATGTGATGTATCTGAACAACAAAGTGGTCAAAAATCATTTTATTCATTTATTGGAAACATTTTCATGATCGCTTTTTTCGTTTTATATTTTCATTTATTGTCATTTCCATTCAGTCAGTCATTAAGTGCTATTAAAATGTTAATGTGCTACATATCCACACAAACAAACAAAGTGTGCAATCCAATGAATGTTAATCTAACTGGGTTTTGATAGATAATATATCTATTTTTCTTTTCAATTATTTTATTTCTATTACTCTAATCAATATTAATCAAACGTTCGTTTATACATTTTAAGAATGGCGTTTATCTTTTTTGAGAATGAGTTATTATTTGATTTTATTTATTGGGGTCTACAACAGATGATACAAATATTTGTGTCAGTAAATGTGTGGCGGGGGTGTTTGTGAAAAAACGGGGACAGTGCTGCTGTCAGACGAACAGCTGTGCAGCGTCATCACAAACGGACGTCGCTTCACGTGACGCTCCGGAGGAAAGGACGTCCCATTGCTCTTAAAACTCCTGCTTCTCGTGGTTTCCTTGCGTCCCTCCATGCTTCCCTGGAGGGAGGGACTAAACACAGGGAAACGACGCAAGTGAGGGAAGCAAGGATTTCATTTAACCGACCTGAGACGGGGCCATAAACGTATTCAAATAAACTACTGGACCTTCATTTAATATTCAACAATAATAATATCTCGACGTCTATAGTTGTAGTGTTAAAATCAGTAGGTTTCAGTGTCCAACACTCCGTGTCATATCGCTACTAAATTCACCTCTAGTAAATGGTATATTAGCCACATGCTAAATGCTAACCGGAGATGAAGGATTTTCAGAATAAAAGCTTAACAACTGGTTGTGCACAAGAACTTCTGGTTTTTCAGTATAAAACAGCATTTAAACTGACGGTATGTTTAAGGTACTTTATGCCATCAAAACATTGATTTTAATTTCTAACACATGAGACTGGGTTGGCATATAATACTTTTAGATGTTTCTCATCTAAATGTAAAATACTGGATTCTCAAGGAGATCCATTCTTAGACTTTTTAGATATAAAAAGTGGAGAAAGACTCCACTAAAGAGATGTTGTGTCTACAGTTATTGGCATTAGCTGTACAAAAAAACAAACATGTGGGAACCTATGTGCCTAATAATTTCTGTGTTTATTACAGTATACCAATCCTTTCAAGTCAATAATGTTCTACAGTGTGTTTCCAACTGACAGCAATAGCTCTGATGTCAGCATTCACAGCACAGTTCTCCCTGATCCCCAGGATAAGTATTCACGATGAGACCATTCTAATACTAATAATGCTAGGAATCTGGGTGTGACCCTAGATAACAAACTGTCCTTCACTGCAAACATCGCTGCAACAACCCGCTGCTGCATATACACTCTTTACAACATCTGGAGGATACGTCCCCTATCCTGGCTCCAAAATGGTGGAATGAGCTCCCCATTGACCTCAGGACAGCTGAAAGCTTACACATCTTCCGGCGCAGACTAAAAACTCATCTCTTTCGACTCCACTTCGAGCAATACAATTACTAACAAAGCCCTTATATACTAACTAAGCACTCATATACTAACTAAGCACTTATATACTAACAAAGCACTTATATACTAACAAAGGACTGGCTTATCTAACGCCAGTTGAGTAGCACTTGAAATGGTTTGGCTCTATGAAACCTGATGTACTTACAGTATATGATTCTGTTTTCTTCAAGTTTGTATCTTCTTGGTCGAATGCACTTATTGTAAGTCGCTTTGGATAAAAGCGTCAGCTAAATGCACTGTAATGTAATGTAATAATCCTATACTTACAACATCAAATAATTACATGATTTCAACTTAGATTAGATGAGGTAAGATTAGGGCAGCGTTTTAAAAGAAATGCTAAAAGACATAATGTTAAACTGTCTATAAAGATTTATTTACAGACTAATCTGTGAAGAATGTAGCTAACCTTTTTAAAACTATTGCAAACATGAGGTGTCTTTGCTCTTGGACGTATGAGAAAGAAATATCAGACATAAATGTTTTCAGAAAAGCATGCAACACAACTTATAACTATGTAAATGTCAGAAAAAAATTACTCATTATGTGAACATTTGATATTGTACCCTAGTGCCAAACCTCTTTTTGTTTACCACTCTTTGTCAGGTGTTTCTAATGATCTAACGTCACCGATCACTACATTGACTTGTCTACATGTCGTTGTTACACACACACCACCAGAGCATGTTGCTGCCCTTTTTCATTGTCCGTCCTCTGCAGTGTGTAACTAATTAATTGCTCTTTGTGGAGAAGAGCTACCTCCTTCTGTTCAATAGCAGCTGGGGATACTCTGTCTATTCATGCATCAACATTAAACTTTGTCATCTGAAGGGGCCGGTGTAATATTTTACACTAAATTGTGCTTTGGACTGGATGCCAAAGTACAAATGATAGCATGGTGCAGACTCATTTATCATCCCCCCCAAACATACACACAGCTCCCTCTATCTCTCTACCCCCACACACCCCCATTCTCACCTTCTCTCCCTCTCTCTCTTCCACCGTCTCCATGGAAATCATTGTTGTCTCTCTCCTCCTGTGGTGAAGGAGCTGACTGCAGACTTTCTGTTCACCATCAGTTTATATGGACGGAGCTCTGAGAAAAAACACACACATTTTAAACAGCATATTAAATACACACGCTTTCTTGTTCTATCTTTATGAGATTGTTCCACTGCCCTATTGACTACATTCATCTAACAACATCCATGCCCACTACATTAATTATGCAGCTATTATCAATTAATGCAGGAAGTAGAGTGATGGTCATAAAGTGGAGTAATCAGTGAAGTGAAACAAGAGTGTATTATTTAGGAGTCAACACTAATTTGCACAAGTGTTCTCTTTATCTTGGTGCTGGTGAAGGATAATTGGAAGTAATTAAGGGGGAAAACAATCCATTTGGTTTTATCTGACTTTGTTGTTATTTATTTGTGTACGGGTTACAATCTGCTTAGTGTTACTCTTTAAAAAGTATTCGCCAGGGAATTATCTTATTGCACCATATACAAATGTTTAATTAAGAATACAAAATAAGTAAATGTTAGGGTTAGATTTACTGTATATGATGAATGAATGATCAACCAGCACAAACAAATAACTTCTCGAGTACAACAGTACGGTGGCCGACAGGTGGCCAACAGCACCAAACATTTACATTGGAAAAACGTGCTAAAACGAAGCAAAAACACATGCAAAGGAAGAGACATCTTCACCAACTTGACAACACATTCCAAGCATTTACCTTAAGCGCTACATAAACGAAACGCTGCAAATACAAAACGCGACAAATGAAAAAACGCTGCAAGAAGAAAACATTACGGAAACGGGGAGACTAAAAAGTTATGCACAATAAGCAATATCAATACCCCAATAAGTATTATAAATACAGCATGTAACATGAACAGTTTGTGATGTGAAGAATGATAGCTAGTAAATGAATACCACTATTGATACAATTATTATACTTTATTCATTGTATCCAATGTATATTTACAGATACTTCATCCTAAACTCAACTCCTAAACCTGAACATTACTGCTTAGAAAAGTAAACAACACTTCAAATGCACTTCACACTCAATATTTATTGAATAGCTCAGCTTTTTGGCGCTAAATGCAGCAGGAAGGTACGAGGCCATTTGTAATGAGTGACAGCTGAAATGCACTCACAACACATTAGGCCTACTAAGGTGCACTGTATGTGACCCTCCTCTGCTGCACACTCTCACCTCTAATGAAACAGGATATTACGGGTCATAAAGTTAGCCATAGCATAAGCAAACCACTCGTGCTATTGGATTGCACTATTGCTTCTCCCAGTCACTGGTACAATAGGTTTGTATGAGATGAGGTGTTAATCTGTTGATTTGTTTTGTTTTCCCATTTTGCATCTAATTAAGGGTAATAGCGATACTGGTTGTTTGCTAGATTTAATTACAAAAAGAGGGTGAAAAGGTTCCTGCGTGTTGTATTACCATAATGTTGTCTAGAGAGTTTAAATGCTGTTATAATCATGTCTATATGTGTCCATATGGTAATTTGGTCAGCTGTGTCTTTAATGAACGAAAGTATTTTCTCTCTCTGTACACATTCTGTCCTTTGAAAGTATCTTTGTCTTCAGTATCCAGCTGTTCGAATTTCATGAAGTAGAAAGTGGCCTGAGGATAATTATGTAAAGTAGAAGGTAAGAAGATGAAAATGGTGAAAGGCTTTAATTATCAGCGGGAATTAACTTCACATTGCATAAAGGCAAAATAGACATAAGACTTATGTGACACACATTATGATAATGTGCCTTTTGAATGCAGCTCGGTGTTTGGCACATGTTCCAAAATGTTCACATCTACAAATATCCTTTTGCTTATTTATTGGTTTTGCTTATTAAAGTGTAGAAGCAAGGAGTGGGCAAGAAAGCGGAGAATTATTCACACCGTTATCTGGAATGACAGCAATCCTTTTTCAATTTGGAAAATGGTATTCTGTGAACCTTTGCAAATAATTGTTAAAGATATTATACTGTCTGCTGCACATGCAAATAATAACAGAAGTAAACATACAACACATACAGTGGTAGTATGCATAGAGCAGTAACTGTAGATAAACAGCGAGGACTCATTGATATTTTTCTCAGGGCCAGCAGAAAGATTCTAGCACCCGGTGACCCAATCTTTAACCCACACACACACACACACACACACACACACACACACACACACACACACACACAACACACACACACACAACACACACACACACACACACACACACACACACACACACACACACACACACACACACACACACACACACACACACACACACACACACACACACACACACACACACACACACACACGCACACACACACACACACACACACACACACACACACCTGCCCTTGTGCAGAACCACATAAACACACACACACCCCACACACACACACCTTGTATTGCTTTTAACTGTGCCTCTGTTTGAAGTGTGGCTGTCAGTGGGCTCTCATACGTCCTCATTCGTCTTGCATCCTGACAACCATTCAATCAAACACTGGCCTCCAGGATTGAGCTGGAAACCTTCTACACGGGGACGGCTGTTACTATGGCAACCGAGAAGAAATGCCACCCACCAACAAAGTTGAAAAATAGTGTTGTCTTGTCTTTTTGTTTTTCCCCGTGAGAAAACATCAAATTGTTGTTAGTTTATCTGTGTCCCTGATTCTTTCTTTTTGGTTTCTCCCCAGTGTGGAGGAGTATACACTATAAGCAAATACCTCTTGCTCTCGCTTACCATGCTTGGGCTTGTGGGTAATAGTAGCCTAAACCAACACAGGTGTGTCAGTGTACAAGGATTTAGTTGTCAGACAGGAAAATGTAGAAATTAGTTATCCAAAACCCACTGGTACAGCACTGTAGCCAAGTTCAATGTTAGGCTCTCATCATGCCAACACATCTTTGAGATAAACACTGATGGCTGTATGCGAACATGCTAAAAAAGGACATTCTTCTTGGCAGTTAACACAAAGTTCAGTCGAAGCTGATGGCAAAGTCATTAGTTTGAGAGGAATCTGGTCATTAAAAAGTTATTGGGCTAATTAAAATGCTGTCTTGATGATGGCTCGTTGATTGAAAATCGAAGAGTTGTTATGAATGTGTCTACCAAATGTCATGGCAATCCATCCAACATCTGTTGAGACATTTCATGCAAAACCACAAATGTCAACCTCGTGGTGTTGCAAGAGGAAAAGTCAAGGAATCCCTAAAATCATTAAGATGTATCCTATGGGAGCCATCGATGTCTGGACACGATTTAATGACAATCAAACCAATAATTGTGGTAGTGGTGAAACAACCAACATTGTAAGGAGTAAAAATACACATATATAAATAAAAATATTGTCAAAAATATAAATTTTGATCAGTGGATGTTTTTATGCAGCTAACATAATTATAATTTCAAAGTTGAATTTCGCTCTCTCTGTGATGGATTGCATGTCTAAAGAATCCTGCAGTCTGAATATCTGCCGTCCCACAGCACAAATCTTTCTGCTGGCACAAAGAGCCTACTTACTATTTTCACTTGACATCCTCTTTTCTATGTGAGTAATTAAAGTGAGGGTTTGGGCCCGGGCAGTGAGGTCCGCTGAGATAACCAGTGGTCTAATTAGAACCACATATCTCCATTCTTATCTAAAAACACTCGTTACCCATGCTTTTGTTTTACACCAGCTGCGAATTAAGTATACTGCAGGAAAGCTGTTAAATGTTTCAAGGTGCTGAACAGCAAACAAAAACAACACTCAGGTGAATTAAGTTTTCACATCAGTGTAGTGTCTGAAGTTATGATTAATCACCTAGGAAGAAGAGACTTGTGAAAAAGCAAGTGGTGCCTCTAACTGACTTTGAGAATTGAACAACATATGGTCACCGTTCAGATGGATGCTGGTTCATCACATTTGGTGTTTCTTGTGTATGCAGGGTGAGTATAACTGATCAAATATTAACGGGGGAGAATATTTATGTATGCGTTTTCATTCATACCCGACAGGCTTCTGTTGTCAAGGAAGTGCTATGAACTGATTCATTACGCCAGAGGATCATGTTTACTCAGCTCGGCTCTGTATTATTTCTCATTCACAGCCCCTACGGTGCCGATGCGTTACAGCCAACTGCCAATCTGCACTCCGTAGTGCGGGCTTGCTTTCTGACAAATGGCCCGGAGGAGAGGGCCAAGGAGAGTCCTGTCAGAGCCAGTCAGCGCTGTGCTGCTGCAGCAATCTGAGGATATAATGGAGGGGGTGGAGAGGAGGAGACAGAGGAACAGAGAGAGGGGGATGTTCACAAAATATACCCTTTTAAAAGTTCACTAAAAAGCTCAAACTGCTAAGGTTAAAACCCTGAAACAGACTTGCAATTCTTCAACATTGAACTTAACAAACATGTGTTCGTAAAGGATTTGCAAAAAAATCTTGGAATGATAACAAGAAATATAGATTAGGGGAAGAGACAAAGATGCTCTTAAGATGCTGGCATTGTGTAAGCTATATATTGCAAATGGATCTGCCTGGGGGTTGACCAGTGCACAATTGCAAAGCCATCCACATCAGCTTGATTTACAGTTGTATTGACTTATCATGCGGGTCAAAACTGCTGAGACTGGTTATGATCCAGAGAGAGAGCAAGAGGGAAAGCAAAGGTTCAAATGGAGAGTGATGTTTGGCTCAGGATGAATAAAGGCTCTAATAATCCCATAATGTGAAAGTGAGCTGTATTCCTCAATGGTTGATTTTAATCGGGGAAGCTTTACCACAGGAGACTAAGGGTAGGAGTCTGGGCTCAGATAGAGAAGATACTGCTAGTGCCAAGAAGCAGCACAGCTTACACAGTTAATTTGATAGAACCAAAACATTCATTTTTAACTCATTATTTTACATTATATTAGACAGAAGTAAAATGTTGAATCCTGAACTTTTACCTAAATAAAGGTTCGAGTTACTTGGTCATTGTAACTCAAATTCAACATTTTACTAAGTGTGATTCATGTTTGAATTTTCCATATTTGTTTTCTTCCACTGGAGTACAGGGTTGCATCTATCCTCAAG